ATCCCTGACCAAGGAGGTAAGCCACATGGCGAGCAGACCTCTACTGACTCGCCGGCTGCTCCCCTCAACAGTATATTTCAGTGGATCTGCTGTTCTGCTCCCCACTCTGTCTCTGGTGAATCCTCTTACCCCACACACCTCTGGCCTGTATCCCAGTTCTTGTATGTATAAATAAATAAATCTTTTTAAAAAACTGAGAACTTCTGCTCAGATGAGTTATAATATTGGTCATATTTTCACTTCTCTGGTCATATTTGGCTCTTTCTAGTGTCAAAGCAAAGCAGAACTGATGGCAGCAAGCATTAGAGGCTTCAAAGAGTGTTATCATTGGTAACCTTGGCTTTTCACCTGAATTCATGGATGCCTGATGATGCTAACATTTACTATGCATGGGCATTGTTCCAAAATCTCTGTATATTCATTTCTCTTTATACTAACCTTTACACTAGTTGCTATTATTATCCCCATTCTGCAGATGAGTAAAAAGACTCAACAGCTTGTTGCTGGGATTTGAGCTCAGGAAGCTGGTTCTGGAGGTTGCACTCTTAGCCTCATTGTAGAAAATAAAAAAAGAGAGTATAAAAATCATAGTATTACACAGAGACAAGTACTGACATTTTGGTGTTTTCTTACTCCTTTTTTTTAAAAACTATTTTAATCTTATGTATATAGCTATGTGTGCTTTTTTTTTCCTTTTTAATTTAACATTGTAACAGATGCATTTTCTTTAGGTTACAGGTCTTTTTTAGGTATAACTCTCGGTGGCCATAGCATATTATGTCAGATTTAGCCATACTATAAATGATTCTGAAAATTTTTTAAAAAGATTTATTTATTTATTTATACAAGCACTGGGTACAGTCAGAATCGCGGAAGGGTGAGAGAATTCACCAGAGCCAGAGCGGGGAGCAGAGCAGGCAGAAGGACCGAAGCACACTGCTGAGGGGAGCGGGCAGCAGGAGAGGTCTGTGCGCCATGTGGGACCCTCCTCCGGTGGCCGGGGAGCACCCGGGGATCGAACCAGCGCTGCAGAGGCTGCAGGCAGCTTCGCAACCCAGCGCTCAACTGCTGCGCCACCGGGGAGGCCCAAGATTTATTTTTTTTAATTTATATATACAAGAACTAGAGTGTAGGCCAGAAGTGTGGGGGGTGAGAGGATTCACCAGAGACAGAGTGGGAAGCAGAACAGATGAACCTACTGAAATACACTGCTAAGGGGAGCAGCAGGGGAGTCAGGAGAGGTCTACTGCACCATGTGGGTTAGCTCTTTGGCTGGGGATCAAACTAATGCCTCAGTGCTGGCCATAGCTTCATAGCATTGAGACTAACCCCTTCACCACCAGGGAGGCTCCTGATTCTGAAGTTTAATTATTCTTCACTTATTGGTTGTTTTGTTTCAGGTTTTCTAATGTTCCAAATAACAACAGAATGAACATCTTTTGTAGCTAAATCTTTTCATGAATCTAGAATCTTCTCTTAAGAAAGGAAGATTTTGTCTCTTGATAAATATTGCCAATGTTTCTGCTCAGAAAGGTTTTAATTTTTCAAATATATACCTCAGTGGCAAAAGCAGCCTCACTGAATTGAGTATTATTTATAAATACCTTCTTTTTTTTTTAATTAATTAATTAATTTATTTATTTATACAAGCACTGGGTACAGTCAGAAGTGCGGGAGGGTGAGAGAATTCACCAGAGCCAGAGTGAGGAGCAGAGCAGGCAGAAGGACTGAAGTACACTGCTGAGGGGAGCAGCGGGCGGCAAGAGAGGTCTGTGCAACATGTGGGACCCTCCTCTGGTGGCCGGGGAGCAGCCGGGGATTGAACCGGTACTGCAGAGGCGCGGGCAGCTTCGCAAACCAGCGCTCAACCGCTGCGCCACCGGGGAGGCCCTTATAAATACCTTCTAATTTGATAACTTAAAAAATCTTGTGCCCTTCACTCAAACTGTGTCTGGGGCTGGAGTGGAAAGAAATTAGGCTCCCAGCCCTTTATATAGAGCACATGTAGAGAGACGGATGGTGTTTTGTTATTGTTGTTTTGTTTGCTTTAACAAAACAAAGTGGAGTTTTGGGGGGAGAGGGTGTCTGGTAATAATTTTGTATCCCCACTCCGCACCCAGCTGACTGTTCAGGCGCTAATTGACAACACTCCGTGCTGATCCCATTGCAGAAACCCAGCACAGCAGTGGAATATTTAGCAGCTCACCTGTCCAAAATCCATGGCTTGGACTGGCACCCAGACAGTGAGCACATTCTTGCTACCTCCAGTCAAGACAACTCTGTCAAGGTGAGTGGCACCCACACAGGCAATTGTGGGGGCTGTGTTAGGGAGCATCAGGGATGCATGCGAGCACTTTTTCAGAAGGAAAGCACAGCACGTTGAGTGCAGAATGCTTCTTAGGGCCCCGGCCAGTGCACCTGGTTTTGTACACCAGCAGGAATGATCTAGCAAATATGTCTAGGGCATATCTCCTAGAATTGGCTCAGGGTTTTCTTTTTTCCCCTCTGTAAGAGGAAGTCAGAAACAAAAGCATTTAGAAAGGAAAAGAAGTTTTCTTGCAAAGAAATTGCCAGGAAGTCAGTTTCAGTCCTCACTCCTCTCAAGACAACAACACAACAACTATATAAATAAAGAAGAAAAGCCTTTTCTCCTTTCATAAAATTAAAGTTGCCAAATTCACAACTAGTCTGTCTGCGGTAGAAAAACAGCAGTTTTCTCACATAATGATCGTTTCTGCAGAAGTTATGACCTCTTCAATCATCACCGTGGCAGGAGTCGGGTAGAGTTGTTTTCTTAAAGAGTGTCTCACTTGCAGGAATTGCCGAAGGGTTTCTGTGTTTCAGTGACCCTGTTTTTGGTGGTTTATCTCAGAATGCAGTGTTCCTTGTTTTTCCTCTCTGGCTGTGGGATATGATGTGTACCCTGTTCAAAGGCTACAGGACAAAGAGTCAATCTTGCTCCATAGTTCCTCCTTGGGGTCACGTCTCTGCCCTTAAGGACAGAGATTTGACCACAGAAGTTTGTTTAGCAATTTTGTGATTCAATATCATTAGTTTTAATGTTTTGTTTTATTTACATAGGCACACACAACATCTTTTTACATGGTTAGCAAAACTGGAATCATACACTTAGGTTTACAAGTTAACTTCTGCCTTGAGGTTTGTAAATCCCCTAGGATTGTGAAATATTTATTTGTGCCGAAAGGAGTTGGCTGGTTTGTCCCCATGCCCCCATTCAGCTTGCCTCCCAAGTTCAGAACCAGAAAGCATCCAATGTACCACCTTCTCTTTTGAGGTCCGTAAGTTTGTCAGTGTTCAGAGACATCTTTACTACCTTTGGGACTGGGATTCCATAAGTAATAAGGCAGGTAACAGGCCAAGTTCCACATGTGAGATGCTACTTGTTCTTATTTAGCTTACATGGTAAATGAGATTTCTGGCATGGTGTTTGATTTCTTCCATTCTATCCTGGTAGGAAGGAAGAGAATTTTTAATTGATTGTCTATGAATAACACAAATCATAGAGGCACTTTGTATCATATTCAGAATTATTTTTAGTAATTTGCCGATAAGGATCAATATGTCATTCTCTCCCTCCAGAGTCATTTTCTTAAGTTTACCTGATAGTTTTTAGCTTATCATTTATAGTAGTAGTTTTTACTATTTTTATTTTATGAATTCAGAAAGGCCAACTGAAATAAGAAACTGTTGAATGAAGGTTTAATTTCAGTTTGTAAATTGTTAAACTGTAAAACTGTTCAATTGCCCATCACAGCTAGATCAAGAAGAAAGAGAAGAAATTTTCTTAAATTGCCATTAAAAATAGAACATTAACCATAACAAATTGAGTTCATGTCATTTTAGATAATTATTTTTTCCCTTGATCTTTGGTTAAGCAGTATGTTTTGCAAACTTGCCTTCTTCTAAACTACAAGCCCCGGAAATCCAAACTTGGTCTCTTGATATGTTCTGACAGATATGCCTGCCTATGTGTCAAGGTTAGCCTTACTGAGAATCCTGTTCCCATGAGGCCGTTCTCTGTGATAGCAATAGTCAAGACTGTTGACATAGATCACCAGAAACCTTCCTTTCACATCTATAGCTTGAAGCAGGGCCCCTTCCGTAGTGTTGAGAGAAAAGCAGAAATCACCAATGGCTGGGAGGATGGCATGACTCTGCTTAATTTACTCTGATAACCAACTCTATAAGATTGAACAGGGAAGCCCTCCATTCACAGATGACATGTAATCATTTCTTTAGACTTCATTAGTGATGCCTTGAGAATAAGAGCATGTTATGAACAGGGAGGACTTTGTTAAATCTTCAGGGTCCTCTAATTTATCCCATAAATCGTGTAATTGTTAATCCATGAGCACATTTAAATCTAGGAACAAAATCTTTTTTCGAAAGTACTAATTTTGTTAATAATTATCATGTTAGTCTTTGTAAATGAACATAATATACTCTGTCCAACCTGAAAAGTAAACAATTACTGAAATGCATTCATATTAATTTTGCTTATGTGTAATTAACCTAAATAAGTTGAACTTCTCTTTGATTTGATAATTTTTCATATATAGTGGGTTTGATAACAGGGAATTCACAAAGCTAATTAAAAATCTGGAGGATGCCAAGCATACCTAATTATTTCTAGTATCCCTTCTTTTATAAATTGAAGGAGAAAATTATAGTTTACCCTGTGGCCGTCTGGGAAACCAAAAGCAGTTTAAATTTGGAAAGGACAACTTAATAATTTCAGTATTTTGGATTTGACCAAAAAAAAAAAAAAAAAGGTTTAGAAGAACACAGACAGAGCTTAAAAGCCCAAAGATAAGAAATTATTATTGTCTATATTTGATATGGAATAAAAATAAATAGAGCAGTAAGTAATTATTAGGAACCAATCATAGTTTTTTTTTTAACTCAAAGATTTGTTTTATTATTGAATATGGGCTGGGACTATGGGAGGGGGTAGATGTAGTAGGCAACAACTGCCCTGCTTAACATTGGATGCCCATCCCGACAGCCATGAATGTGCCAAAGGTGCCGCCACTCAGCATCATGGTTTTCCCGATGATGCCCCTCAGCTCCCGACCCTGCATTCCGATCATTAGACAGGAAAAGGTGCTGAATAGCGCCCCAGCTGCCATGCCCATGGCGCCACCCATTACAAAGCCCATCTTCATGTGGTGGAAGCAGCTTGGCTGGGACTGTCCGTAGGGACCCACGGCCACAGGTATCTCACTTGCGGCCTTGGTCATTGAGCTACTCAATCATAGTGCTTTTTAAAGCACTTTTTAAAAAAATTATTCAAGAGCATAATGAAAACTACCAACAACAGAGTATTTTGGTGAGATAAGGAACCTCCACTCTTCAGGAGTAGAATAGCTGACCTTTGTGCAGAAATCAGTTGCCATTTAAACAGAAAGAACTCTCAAATTTTAGTTTTATCCTTTCTATCATTTATATAACATTTTTTTGGGAAAAAATTTTCACAAACCCTTTTCCATCTTATAGAAAAATCTATCCACATTCAGCCCACTTGGTCAAAATGTAGTGTTTTTTTTTGTTCTATCAAAAAACTTTTTATTTGAAGATATTATAAAACACCATACATGGGCTCACACCTGCTATAATTTACAAACGTCTTTGAAATTGTCTTTTAGTCTTGCACAACCACTTGTACTACATGATAGAGTTACCTTTTTTCTCTTTAATGAGCTAGAAACAAATGCATTGTGTTATATCTCCATACAACATAGGTGTACTTTACATTCTTAAAGTAAGAAGACAAGAATATGTATACTATTATGGTAAAAAAGGAATTATAAATCCTTTATATTTCATTAGAAATATAAATCAATTCTGTAAATATATTCAGTACTTTGTCTTTGAAAGTATAAAATAAGAAACAAGGTTTATGTTAATTGTTTCATAACTCAATTTTCAAAGAATACTATATATCTTTTTTTTTAAAAAAAAAAAGATTTATTTTTACACAAGAGCTGGAGTACAGGCCAGAGGTGCAGGAGGGTGAGAGGATTCACCAGAGACAGAATGGGGAGCAGAACAGGCAGACAACTGAAACACACTGCTGAGGGGAGCAGCGGCCGAGACAGGAGAGGTCTGCCACGCCATGTGGAAATCTCCCTGGCTGGCCGGGAATCGAACCTGTTCTGCAGAGGCTGCAGACAGCTTCACAGCGCTGCACTCAATCTGATGCGCCACTGGGGAGGCCCTCTTTATATCTTATGTAGAAGTCTTCCAGATACTCAAAACTCATTTGTTAATCAACTGAATTTGGTATTAGTCCAAGGTCTTTAAGTGTCTTGAAATTATTAAGTTGATTTACCACAGAGAAACAAAGTTGATAGCAATAGTTAGCAAGGTACTAGACATATTTACCCTGATACTCTAATGGAATAGCTAAGTTCTTACGATTTTCAGTATTTTAAGAAGTTCTTGAGAACAAATTTTTAAAGGAACCAATTATTGTTACTCAGTTTAGTTTAACATGTAATTTTTTGCATTTTTATAATTTTAAACATTCTGTGGAAATGATGATGATAACTTCACGCAAAGAGCTTATCCAATTTAGGAAGTTTCAATTAATTAAGCTTTCCATGAGAATATAAACCCAAGTCTTACAGTGTAATAAAGTTAGGAAAAGACAGCCAGTTACTCATAACCAAATTTACCAAACTAGTCTAGTTTTTCCAGGGGTTTATCTTTATTAGGAATATTACCTAATTTTTCTATATTTATCTACTAAGCTTTTTTAAACCTTTATAAAACTTGTTTAAAAGCACTGGGATTTTCTTTTATTTATTTTTTCCTCTATACTGTTGTGAGGTTTCTTATTTTGTGATCTGGCATCCAAGGCTACTAGTTTAACCCCCTGCTAGTTTTCCCCTTCTACAACTTCAACAGACATGTGAGGCTTTCTTTAGAGCTACATATCTAAAACCACAGAAAACTTGCATGCATTTTCTTTTTAGAAATTCTTGAGTTTTCTTAAGTTTAGCAGCATGATTATTAGTCTCCATAGTGAATCAAAATAGGGAACTGTGTTAAATTCAACAGATCTTATTATCTAATTCACTGATTTTTAAAAAGAAGTAGGCGAAGGTACACCGTTTGTTTGCTAAGGAATTGAGCATGCCCCTTCCCATACTCACACAAGGAAGAAGATAATCAAATTCTCAAGCAAACTTAGGGACTCCGTGGGAGTTTAGGGCTAGCTTTTTATCTATTCATTATGTGCTGTGTTCTGTAATACTCATTCATACTGGTTGTGAATTAGGGGAACAGTTTTAAGATTTGTTAGCACCTTCTTGTTGGCACATTGAATAACCCTTTACATTTCAACTTGGCTCATTTATGTATTTCTTTAGGACATTCCACTGTTCTTTTGAAGGAGGAGTAAAATAAATTATCCACTTAGACCTCCTTAGATTTTTCAGAAGGTAATGAATCTCTAGGCCCATCAGAAGTGATCTTTGCCATTCCTATTTCTGTTTAAGCTCAGCCACACAATTATACAAACCAGCAAAATCTTAGTGAAATATCTTTTTTTTTTAAGATTTATTTTAGTTATTTATGCATAAAACTGGGGTATAGGCCAGAGGTGTGGGAGGTAAAAAGATTCACCAGAGATGGAGTAGGGAGCAGAACAGGTAGATCTACTAAAATACACTGCTGAGGGGAGCAGCAGGCAAGACAGGAGAGGTCTGCTGTGCTGTATATGGGTCATCTCCCTGGCCAGGGATCGAACTCAGGCCTTACCTGTGATAGCATGACAGTGCTGAGACTTAGCCCCTCCGCCACCAGGGAGGCGCACGAAGTGTTGTTTCTTTGGTGTAAAACCATTTTAAAACATTTTGAATATTTTAAAATTTGGTGAGAGGTCATTCTGTCCAAATAGATGTTCTATAGTGTATTCAAATGGCAGATTTTTTATAACCAATTAAAACTCTGAAAGTTTTGAAACTAAGAGAGTATCAATGTGGGTCAGCCATAGGCTCTGAAAGAATTGTAATTATAAAAGGCCGTTATGAAAGTTAGTTTTGTTAATTGGGGAAGGAGACGGTCTTTCTTGAATTTGTGGCTTGTTGGCCACCCTTTTCAAATATTGCTTCTGTTCCAGTCTCTCTTTACTTTCCTCTGGAACAGTAATTCTAATCTGCTAGACTTTTTTCATTTCATTGCACATATTCTTGTATGTTTCTATATTTTCCATCCTTTTCTTTTGCTTTAGTTTGGGTATTTTCATATGAATTATCTTATATTTTACTATTTCTGTCATATCTATTTTGTTCCTAAATGTAACAGTTTATTTCAGTTATTGTACAGTTTAATCCTCAAATTTTTTAATAATTTTCAGTCAGAATTTTCCATTTGGGTTTTTGAAACCTTGCATGCATTTTTCAGCATCAAGAAAATTCTTTATCGGGCCTCCCCTGGTGGCGCAGCGGTTGAGCACTGGGTTGCGAGGCTGCCCGCAGCCTCTGCAGCGCCAGTTCAATCCCCGGCCACCAGCAAGGGTCCCACAAAAAAAAAAAAAAAAAAAAAAAAAAATTCTTTATCATGCCCTTTCCAGTCACTACCTCTCCTTAGGCATACCTATTAATCTGACTATTCTCACCAGTGGTTAGTTTTGCTTGCTCTTTATCTTCATATCAATAGAATTTTCAGTACTCTAGTGTCTGTCTTCTTTCACCTACCCTAATATGTATGTTATAAATGTCAGTCATCTGTTTGTTACTTGTGTCATAGTCTCTGTATCATACATGTCTCGGCACATTCTCCTGTTAATGAGCATGTGGTGTGTTTTCAGTTTGTGACTATTATGAATAGAAGAAGTTACTCACGTTCTTTCATGTCTTTTAGATGACACTAGACTCCTTTCTCTTGAGAAGTAGGGTTCCTGGGGCATGGGACAGCATATATTTAGCCTTGGTAGGTAAGGTCAACCAGCTTGTCTAAAGTGGTTGTACCAACTATTTGAGTTCTCATTGCCCCATATCCATTCTACCCTTGGCATTGGAAAACTTTTTTCTCTCACTTGAAAAAAAATTACCATTCAGACTTTTTTGGGGAGGGTGTATAGTCCCCTGAAATGTAACACATGCCATGTTCCATGTAATCACCACCTCAATCATGATACAGAACAGTTCCATCACCCTGAAGAATTACCTCCTGCTGCCCCAAACCTAACTGCTGGCAACTGCTGATCTGTTCTCCATCACTATAATTTTGTCTTTTTGAGAATGTCATTTAAGTGGAATCATGTAGTACATAACCTTTTGAGGTAGGCTTCTTTCACGTGGCATAATGCCATTAAAGATTCATTCAAGTTATTTCAAGAATCAATATTTCATATGCTTTTTTATCACTTAATAGTAATCCACCATATGGATCTACTACAATTTATTATCTTTTGACCCATTGAAGGACATTTCAACAATTTTTAGCTTTTGGTTACTGTGCATAGAGCTGCTTTATATATCATCTATAGGTTTTCTGTGAATGGAAGTTCTCGGTTTTCTAGGATAAATATGTAGGAGTGGGACTTCTGAATCATATGGTATTTGTATGTTTAACTTTTTAAGAAACTACCGGGTTGTTTTCCAGAGTGACTCCTGTCATCTATTTTTGGAAATTATTTTTTTTTGGAAGTTTTGTCTTAATACCTGCATAATTTAGAGTTTCTGTCTTGGTTTTTCTGCCTTTGGTGTTCTGCCATTTTCCAACTTTCGTTATAGATGGGCCAGCTCTAATGTAGTCGCTTCTCTATTAAAAACCACAGCATCTCTAGTGTAGAGTTGTTACCTGGCTCACCTTTGTTACTGTCCACCTCCTTCCAAACCTCCCGTGCTGGAGTGGACAAATGGGCCTGTACCTGAGCGGGTCAGGACCCAAGTGTCATGTATCCATCTTTGTGCTATTGTGACCCTGGGCAAGTTATATCATGTAATAATTTGGCCTTTAAATTTGAAAAAGAGATTAGTACCTATTCTGTAGTTATTGTAAAGATTAAATGGGATAAAAAATTTAAATCTCAAAGCATTTGTCTGAAATGCAGTAAGTAGTGCATTCCAACTGTTGTTATTAGAAGTATTATCCCACATGTTGTAAAAGTGATACAGGATGAAAACAAGTCTCTCTTACTTCTCAACTACAAAGGTTGTTTACTAGGCCTGCCGACAGTGATCCGCCCCAGTGGCAGTCTTCATGAAGTCTGGGAATTATCCTGTGTAAG